CCTAGTGCTCCAAAAATTTCATGTCTAGCAGTTTTGAAAATGTTTTGATACACTCCTTCGCATATTATATTCATTCATACTTGAGTAAACTGGTGATGTTACCCTATTTAAATCCAAAATTTTCGCCCTTTTCTTTTCAATTATAATGTTAATTTTTAATTCAAAATAAGTTCATGTAATTAAATTTCATTTTATTCTCCAACATCAATAAGTCGGTAATACTTGGGAAAGAGGCGTGCAGTGTCCGACACCGTGTCCGACACGACACTCGTCCGACACTCCTCTGACACGTGTCGGACACGCCGAAAATGTGTCCGATTAAAAAATATTAGATGCAAATTGGACACTCGTGTCCGACACGCGTATTTTAAATATTTTATGAATTTTTTTAAATATAATTTCTTGTATTTTGCGAGATTTAAACTAAATTTCTTATTTCCCATCTATAACACCAAATCAACGTCCGCACTTAATACCCAATCATTGAATATTCTCATTTAAATTTTTTTTTTTTTTGCAGTGAAGGTATTTTCATCTCCTCTCTCGGTGACTGATAAATGGCATCGAAGCCTGACTCTCGACACCTGAAATATTAGCTGTTGTTTTTTGAAACTTACCAAAAAAAAGCTAATGTACATGCTCGGTACCGCTAGGTATCGCTAGGTACCGCTCAATACATGCTTGGTACCGCTAGGTACAAGCTCGATACCGCTAGGTACATGCTCGGTACTGCTCAGTACATGCTCGGTACCGCTAGGTACATGCTCGGTACTGCTTGGTACATGCTCGGTACTGCTCAATATCTTTCCATACAAATAACTTACGAACTTTAAAAACAAGCAAAGCTTCAAAATTACTCTTACCCTTGCAGGTTGAACCCCGTCAGGGGGCAGTGCCTCCTTGGACCCTCGACAAACCGGTATATTGTTGTGTTCATGTTGTCTTATTATTGAGATATTTTGATTTCACTTCATATCAATTATAATTTCTATGTTGAAGGATAGTAGTTCAAATAGAGAATATCCATTATGATTTAGAAGGAATATAAATCTTCGTCTTCTATCAAGGAAAACCCCACTTTATATGACATGTGATAATAAGATGTGGGATGTTGCTGGAGATGGGTTCGAGTGCCTTGATGATATGGGATTATTGGAGGTTGCAAATCTTTCTCTAGATGAACCAGAGTTGAAAGTAATGATATTCAATGATGATGATATTGAAGGCCAAATATCAACCTCTGAATTTAATTCTATCATTCCCTCTTTTGAGTAGTTGGACCTTCATGTTGTACTAAATGATTTTTTGCTTATATTTCTGTGGTTGTACTGGACATTTTGTACTAAACATCTTTATGTTATAAGTTAAACAAGTTATCATGAAATTGATTTATTATTGCTTGTCATTTTTAATCTAATGTCATCTTAATTTCTATATATTATATTAAAAAATTATTATGTCGTGTCCACGCCGCACCCGTGTCCTATATTTTTAAAAAATGTCGTGTCCCGTGTCCGTGTCGTGTCGTGCCCGTGTCGACGTGTTTGTGTCGGTGCATCATAGCTTGGGAGCATGGCTAACAGGTAGATGTTCTAAATTGTGGCAGGTGATACTGCAATGCCATGCTAATTTGTGGATTTAGCAAATCTTAAATTGTCCCCTCAAGTTTTGCATGTCAATAGTTCTCCTGATGCTCGAAATTTCATGCCCTGCAGTTTTGAAGTTGTTTTAACAGGCTTCTTTACATGGTTTATTCCTTCATACTTGAGTAAACTGGTGATATTGCCCCTTTTAATTCCAAAATCTAAGGTAGCCTTTTTATTCGAAGTAATTTCCTGTCAACAAGGTTGGTTTGGACCACCACTGCAAACCCCATAACCAAGGAGAAAAAAAAAAAAACTATTAAAATGAAAAAGCAGGACCTATATAACTCTTGTAGTAAAGGCCTAATTGTAACTTTATGAAGGGTCCGTCTGAAGGCATTTGGTAGCCTAGATAAAGAAAGGAGTAAATTGGAACATGTATGCACATGTATTTCCTTACTATTTTGGTCCTAAGAGTATTTTCCTGTGAGATATTTCAGAGATAGTGGCAATGATAATGGAGATGATTTTGCGTTTTTCTTGTCTCTAAGATGGGTTAACCATTACTGTAAAGCTTAAACACATGCTATAATCAAGGTCTTAGGTATCTGCAATTTGATTTCACACTTCGTATGGCAGTGCAATACTTGCTGAACTACTTATGTCAAATCCTTTAATTGATATCTTTTCTAATTTTTAATTTTTAAATGTTTTTTGTAACAGCTTTAGATTGGATTTAGGAGGGTTAGCATAAATCACTTCAAACAAAAACTTTGGGGTGCCTAAATCCAACAGCTAGTTAAATCTAGGATTTAAGTAATTAATACAGGTTAGTAGGCTTTAATAAGTACTTTAGGGATTGAGTCGATTGACTCTAAAGAATTTATCAATCCCGCACCTTTTTGATATGCTCCTCTTGCTAGCCATCAACACCTTGATGAGGTCATCGATAGGAGATTTCGGCGCGTCTATCAGAGACGACCACGGAGATCGACGACCACGATTGCGAGCCTTTATTATTGATTTTACTTGTACCATCAGTTTTTTATATTATGCTTTTATTTTCGTAGTTTCCCATTTTACCCCTGAGGGTAGTAGTTGCTTTTGTAGCCCCAAGGGGCATTTTAGACTTTTGCACTTTATTTTCTTTGGGGCCTATTTATATGGCCATTGTATCTTGTATGAGGAGGAATGAATTATTGAATGAGAATTTTCTACTTTGATCTCTTTGTGAGTTCGTCACTCCCTAGTTCTCTTTGTGAGTTCTTGGGAGAATATTCTGGATCTCTTTGTGAGTTCCGACGTGGTTACGATATCTCTTTGAGACCTTAAAGAGGGGTGCGCAAGGTTAGGGAATCCCATCTCTCTCCACTGTTTTCTTACTGTTTCCCAGCCTAGAGATTTCCTTTTCCCCCCATTGCTCTTGCCGTCGGCCCAGCCAAGAAGATTGGCCACAGGCCAATCACCCAGCCCGCCACCAAGACCTGCCGATCCTTTTCGTTTTCACTTCCAGCCCCCTCCCTGGACATCCAAACCCGACTCCCAGGCTACAGCATGCCGCCGGGTTGCTCCTCTTGGCCCCAACGTGCTGGAATTTCAAATTCCCCTAATTAAGCTAGTTTCCTAATTGGTTTTCATCCAATTAAGAAAGGCAATTAAGGGAATAAATGCTTAGTGAGGAATTTAAATTCTATTCCCTCTTAATAATTCAAATTTGGGAGTTAAAATATAATCAAATTTGAAATTACAATTTCAGATTTGATTGAGGAATTACTTGATTAGCGTGGACCCCACCTGCTATTTTCGTTTTCCCCCCATGCTCTATGGCCGGTCCCCCACCTTGCTTCTTAAATACCTCCCTAATAGCCGCCTAATCACTGCCTCAGATTTCAGTTATTTTCTTCTCCCGCTTAGCCAGTTTTCTTAATTTCAAAAATCTGATTTGAATTACCAAGCCATCTTTATTCCCTAAAATAAATCCTGACGTGATTAAAGGTTTCTTTTTTTGATTCTCACACAAGTAAACAACCTCTCACCCATCTTTCTCCCAACCGAAATTCCCTCTCCTCGCTCTCCCGCCAGCAGACCTTCTCCCTTAGCCAAACCGCTGCTCCACCCCTCCCCCTTGGAAGATTTTGCTTGCGGTGACCATCCGGATCCACTCCAATGATGCATGGACGAACCCGAGTGGAACTACGGGTTTGAATACGACCGCAACGGAAGAGTCAATATCTTGCGATCCCAATTCTTCGACGTCGGATTTGACTTCGACGATACCGTCGACGAATACTTGGACCGAATCTTGCCAACGCTTGTAGACTCCATTGACGAACACTTCTCCGTCTACACTTGGATTATCAAAGGTCGATCTACCGTGCCTCCTCCGCCTCCGAGATCCTCTTCCACGGCAACGTTCCTTGGTGCTTCCATCTTTGTGGCAACCTCCATGCTAGTTTGGACAATCTTCCGTCGCTCAACTTAGTCTCCGTAGGAAGAGAGGGCTAAAGGTCTCAAAGTGTGAACAACTTGGTATTAACCGTGGGATTTTTATTTACTAGCTTTTGTTTTAATGTTTTCTTTCGCAATTGCTTAAAGGACGTAGCTCTCTCGTTGTATTTTCTTGCCTAGCAAATTAAACATCGCGAATTACTTATGATCTACTTGACTTTGATGCATGATCAAATAATTCGAGGAGCTAACATTTAATTCTCGTTTTAAATTCTTGTGTAACTCCCCTTTTGCATCACATCACACATGGTACAGGAAGTAGTGAATGGTTGTCCCCACGGTTCTCATGCAATGTGTATATTCCAACTTTTTGGTACCCAATTTTTGAATAGATTCGTGTTTCAGTTCTCTGACATGCCCAGATAATCTCACGGGCATTCTGTTGTCCTTTCCATTTGTCAAGGGAGTCCAATTCCGGACAAGGCAGAAAATCTTGGGCCCTAAATATGGACTGATGTGAAAGAGAGGGCTTGCTTTTGTTCAGTCATACCGTTTCTTGAATTTGGCATTTTATAATGCCTTCCAGATAAAAGGGAGAGCTAATCCCTAAAAGTTGTATATTGTTCAATCACTCATGTCCGGGTCTTGAGTTTTAGCATTGTAAGTGTACTTATTTTGAGGTGAAAAGTGTTATAAAATGCTATTAATGTCAAGAAAATCCATCATATTCTAGTTTTGTGTTAAGGATTATGATGTTTATAGCAGCGGCTATGGATAATTAAAAGTTTTAACAAGTTTAATTTTTATAGATTTTCTCAGCTGCTATTAGATGATAACTAGAAGTGGAATGTAAGACTGCTTCCTATGACTAAATTATTGCAAGTAGATATTATTAGATATTATCAGATGAAACAAATATTTTGACGGCTTCCTATTCTGTTCTAAATTTTTTAATTTGATTATTGCCACACGATGGGTAATAATTTATGTCAGTGTTGCCTCTCTAGGCTGGAATGCACATTTATGCGAGAGCAGCCTCTAAGGGGAAACGTGTTCAGGTAAACCTGTTAATGAGAATTTGTCATATTCTTCTAAAATGCTTAAGTTTGTTGTTTTTTTTTCCCTCTATTTTTAACTATTAGTAATTATAGTTCTTTCACGCAAGTAATAAAGTTATCTAAAGAATATTTCCTTTATCAGTCAAATATGGGTGCAAAGAACCATGCTATTGTCATGCCTGATGCAAGCATCGATGCAACATTAAATTCCTTAATTGCTGCTGGTTTTGGAGCTGCTGGACAAAGGTGCATGGCTCTCAGTACCGTTGTATTTGTTGGGGGATCAAGACCATGGTACTGTAACTAGATTTTGAATTTATAATTTGATTTTCATCTGATATATTATGACAAATATAGTTGCTCAAGCTTAATTTAGAAGCATTTCTGATGGGATTACCTTGTTTTCTTGGTTCTGTTCAGGGAGGATGAACTGATTAAACGTGCCAAAGCATTGAAAGTAAATGCTGGCATTGAGGCTGGGACCGACCTTGGTCCTGTCATTAGCAGACAGGTGTAGTTTAAGGAATATTTGCTTAAATAGTACTATGTTATAAAAACTCTATGTATTTATTTGTTACCGTGGGCTTGCATGTGGGTTTGCCTATGTTTTAGTGAAATTTCTTTGGGGATTTGCATGTTTGATTTCTCTTTTAGACGCATGGGATATTTCCTATACTCTTTAATTGCTTCTTATAAACAGGCAAAGGATCGTATTTACAGATTGATCCAAAGTGGAACTGAAAGTGGTGCGAGGGCAGTGCTTGATGGGAGAAACATCGTGGTAAGCCTCGTCTCGAAGTAGATGTTCGTAGAGTTAGCTTAAAATAATTATTAAATCAAAGTATTGCATCTACTCTCTTGTTTTGGCTAGTTTTTTGGCAAATTTAGTTAATAAGTTTTCGTTATTTCTTTTATATTAAAAAATTATAATGAGAAAATACACCATGAGAATGGAAGAGACCGCTAAAGAAGCCATCACATTGTGATTATGTCTACTGCGTGCTGTGTTTTTTTTTTTTTTTTTTTATTAACAAGGTTCGCATTTATTTTTGGTTATAACAGCTTGGTTGAAAATTTGTTATTGATATTATGTTGTATTGATTATCTATTTTTGAATGCTGAAAAAGCTTTAAGAAGGGGATCTTGATATTAATTGAAAGTAGTTTTTTTAATTAGGCTTTGCACAACTCGTTGATTAGAATAGGTTCGGATTAGAATTACTAGCAATTATCCACGGCGAATCAAACAATGAGGGAGTTAATCGTGCATAGGCTAAATCACATGCGCCAAGTTTTGAACATTCAAGATAATCAAGAAAAAAAATAAAGCAATGACAAATAGTAGTCTTCAAGTTAATCCCTAATCTAACAATGAGACGTAGGATGCATAGAAGATTACACTCAATTCCTACGAATGACTAGGCTTGGCAAGAGCAATTGAAGTAGCTTTCGGGATTACAATCAACCAATTGAGAATTTGGATTTAGAAGAAATTACAATACAAGTGAAAAGGAAAACCTTTGCTTAAGGCTACGCGGAGATCGTCCACTTGATGCCTTCAATATCTTCTTCCATGGCTTCTTCCAAGTGCTGATTTCAAATCTGAAATGGTGTTCAGGTTTGACTCCAAACTACTGAGAAAATTCTCAGATTTTTTTATGTAGGAGAAGGCACTTGGAAGGAGATAACCCGTAACTCATAATCTGAAATAATTCTTCAGATTTTGTGATTAGCGGATGCGGAGTTTGGAGAGAAAACCAAGAGAGAACTTGAGAGAATTCGGCCAGCCAGGGTGGGGTTGAGCAATCTTGCCAAAGAAACAAGTTAGGAAATCTGGACAGATTTCACAAGCATTTAATAAGGGGATGGGTCGTGACAGATGGAGGGAGGCGGTGGGTTTATTTCCTAAATCCTCAGTTTGGTTTTAGGAAAGGAGTTAGAATTTATTCCTGTGAAAATTTCGGTTGGCAAGGTTAGGAAATAAATTATTTTCCCGTAAAAGGAAAGGGGAATTAGTGTTAGGCAGCACTTCCTAACTAAGCCAACAGAGGATGGGGCCGGCGGCAGTAACGGATGGGAAATTGGTGTGATTGCTCAGGGCTTGATTATTTGGGAATTATAGATTTGGAAAGGGGAAATTGAAGGTCCCAATCAATGGCTAATTGCTTTTATTATGATTTATTGGCTTTTCTAAAATAGATGTTGTATATTAGGAAATATTTTGAATTTCAAATCAGTTGGATTTGAATTCAAATATAATCCTAAATATATTTAACCCATATTAGGAAATAAATAAAAAAAAAGGGGGGGGGGAAATCAAAGAGGGGAAAAGGGGAGAGGTGGCCGACGGCCAAGAGTGGGGATCAGTGAAGGTGGCCGGCAGCTAAGGGGAAAATTTTGTGGAGCTTGTAGTGGGAGAGGAGATGAGGAATTTGGTGGAGGAGTTTGACATGACGGAGACGACTAAAGGAGGGTGATGAGGGAAGATGAAAATACGAAGAGAAAACCACGAACCCGGCCGTCTCCAAGGTTGGTGGGTGATACGATTTCTCTCTCCTAGGGACCTCTCCAAGTTCTCTCCAAGAACTCTCAAACGCTCTCAAAACACAAGAGTAGAAGAAATATCATAAGCAATAATTCATTATCTTCAAAATAAAGCAAAGGGGCTTTTAAATAGCCTCATACAAAAGACTCCAAATCAAATGACACAAATGCCCTTAGGCTTATACATGACAACTCCCATAAAAAGGGGTACAACGGGAAATACACAAACACACATAAGCTAATAATAAAATGCATGAAAATAAAATACATCGACTCGAAAATATAAAGACTCGATCGTGGCCGTAGATCGGCGGCCACGTCGCTGGTAAACTTTCCATGATGATCTGATGTCCCCATCATATATATAATTCTCTCACGTTTTTTACTTGTGAAATTGCATTGGGAAATTAGGATGGTGGTCATTTTTTACTTCTCACAGCACATAAGCATGGGGAAATATGATTTTATCTGCCTCCTTTTTAGTGAAAAGTTGAGAAATATGATTGTTTGTTTTCTTGCAAAATATGTCCCTTATTTATTTTCATTAGGAAGTACGTCCAAAAACTCACTCCTAATGAAAATACCCCAATAATAGATAACTACAAACTGCTTTTTGAAGTCACAGTATATGAAATAGGTTTGAAGGTGGTTCAATTTTGATTCCCTGTCATATAATTTTATTTATCACATCATTAGAGATACATTGGACCCAAACTTTAATAAATATGATTCAAATTTAATGAATGTTATTGCATTATGTATGGTGGAGATGAGTTCGACTACAAATTTTAAGATGATGAAAGTAAAACAACTACCATGAATATAAATGTTATCATCAATGAATTTGTATTATACAAGTATAAGTTAAGAGCTGCCATCTTAGAAACTCTCTGTTGACTTAAAAAAATAATAAAAAAAAAATAAAAATGAAATTTGAGCAAATGCTTCTCTCCACAAAGCAGGCGACCTATATTCTATGTCTCGGACCACCGGTAGTTAGTCGCTAAACGAAACGATGCTTCACTCACATAACTCCCACTCGACAGTTCAGTCGATAAAAAGAGTTGAAAGGAACAAAGAAATTTACATTTGAGTCTTCACTGAAAACCTCCTTTGCTTGTCTCTCTGTAGTGCACACAGACAGAAGCCGAAGCTCAGTCCAAGGAATCGAGCCCACACGCTCACCGCTCTCACTATAGGCATCCATCTCGACACCTCCATGCCGGAACCCTATCTTGTGAATGCCCTCTGCCTTCACCCTGAGTTGCCTTCATCCGATGCCCCAGCCCTAACCTCCACTTGTATCCGACGCCAGACTCGCATTTGTCTGACCCGACCCTAACAGAGCCCGCTTGTGGTCTTTGCTTCGTTTTCAGTAAGCAAATCAGCACCATTCTCTAGTTTTGAATCCCATCCAATAAGTCGAGACCTATGCTGCATCTCTAATAAAAAAAAAGGAAAAGGAAGGGGATCAAAAGCTATTGGTTATTCCGAATAGGGTCGTCATGATTTCTCTGATTCAAAAAATACAACAACAACAACATCAAGCCTTTATCCCACTACGTGGGGTCGGCTACATGAATCCTTTTTCTCCATTGTGTCCTATTAAAAGTCAAATTCTCGTTTAAATCTAATAAAGAAAGGTCATTCCTAATATTTTCTAACCAAGTCTTTGGAAAATAGAGAAATGAAAAAAATCAATCAAAATTACTTTACGGAAATACATTATCAATTTTATTTAGTTATTTAAAAATTGAAAAAATTTTGATAAAACAAACATAATCATAAAACAACAAGTATTTTTATTTTTGAAGACCTCGCGTCATCGACTTTAAGTCCGGCCGAGATGGTTTTAATTCGAAAGCCCCACAGTTGATCTTAAATCCTGTTGGGATGATTTAAAAGTTGAAGATCCGCGCCATCGATCTTAGAGCTCGACAGATGGTTTTAAAATTTGAAGATCTTGGGCCGCCTTATCTTTAGATTCGGCTGGAAAAAACTTGAATTGAAGACCTCACGCCATCGACCTTAGGTCCGGGTGGGAAAAAACTATTGCAAATGTCGTCCCGATTTCCCCTGGTGGGTAGGGGATGCCGGGAAGCTGTCGAAATTGCCTCAGAAATCTAAAGGATATTTTAATTTAAACATTAATTCAATTAAAATGTTAAAATTTATTTTAAAATGTTAATTAATTAGTTACTGTTTAATAAAAATTAATTGATTAAAATTAATCAAATAATTGATTAATTTGGTAATAATTAAAATTATAAATGAAAGTTCCGAATGGATTCAGCACAAGTGAATAACTCAATATATCATCATCATCATCTTAAATGATGACATGTCTCCATCCTTTGTTTTACTTGTATTTGTGACAAACATGAATGAAAAGGTGAATTAAATGGGGAGTACTATAAAATGATGTATTTTTTATGACCTTTGCAAATCATCATTGTATTTGAGTTTAGTTGAGTTTCTACTAAAAGCTTCCTACCAAAATTGGCATAAGCTAGAGGAATAAACATATTCTTTCCTATTTATTTTTAATTCTGCTTCTCATCATTTTCCCAAATGTCATCCAACATAAATGGGAGATTTTCATACACCATTTTTGATCCAGAGGCTATCTTGAAGTGCTTTAAATGCCTTCAAATGAAACCTCTCATTAATAAATTCCACATAGGTAACATTGAGTTGAAAACTTTGAATTGTTGTACTATTTCAAATACTATGTCCCTTTGAAACATTACCTCTCTTCTTCGTATTTCAAATACTATTTCCCTTAGAGGTCTCTGCTTGTCAAAATATCACCTCTCTTTCTCTAGCTAATGAAGTAGCAAGGATTGCAACAAATCATTTCAAAATTAATTTATCAATTGAAATTAATTAGTTAATTTAAAAAAAAAATCAAGAGTATGTTTAAAAATTCGAGAGTTTTAAAAATTCGATAGCTTTAAAAATCCGAGAGTTTTAAAAAATTCGAGAGCAGTAGAAAATTTTGATAGCAATGAAATATAAAATCGACTAATTGATTAATTAATTAATTGATCAATTATGAAATAAAATGCTTTAAAAAGGTGGGAGGTTCTATTAATTGACATATACAACACTGTTTTACAAGCTCTCAAAATTTCCAACAATAATAACACTCAACACAATCCCTCGCAAACTCAAACTCTCCAAACAAACAACTCTCAAAACAACACATCAAACTCAACTCAAGACAACAATCAATTGCTCTCCAACTCACAAAATAAAAGCTCTCATGTACAAGACTCTTCATAACACACATTGCAAGCTCTTTAAAGTTCCACTGTATGAGCTCCTGCAACAAACAAGTGAAACTAATTAAATATTGAAATCAATTAAATATCAAAATAAATGCTAATGCAAAAAGAAAAAGAAAGCAAATGTTGCAGTAAACTACTAGTACATTGGTGCAGAAAACTTTTGTAGTAAAAATACTAGTGTCACACAATGACAAATTGCTAGCTAGTAAGTGTTAAACTAGTAACTGTCGGGCTAGTAAATAGCTGGAAACCATAGTCTGGTGTCAAACAACTATTGTCCACTTAGACAATTCAAATTAATGGGTATCCTAATCTATAAGATTAGGTTGTAAGACCCGCTATCGGACAACTTCCAAGTGAAGTCGTAAGACTCATATTTTAGGAAAATTGTTAAATAAAGTGCAATGATCCTAAACCCCAAACTATCCAATTCAAATAACTGGGTATCTTAATCTAAGGGATTAAGTTGTAAGATCCACTTTTCAAACAGCTTTCAAAGAAAAGTCATATGACCCACCCAAACAATCAAATCTTCAAGCAGCTTTGCTGTAGAGTTAGGTTGTAAAACCTATGTTTGGGCAACTCAAATAGATTCGTAAGCCCCAGTCCAAATTAAACCATCAGGCTACTTTTTATAAAAGCCGTAGCAGTCCAAATTAAACCATCAGGCTACTTTTTATAAAAGCCGTAAGTCCCGACCCAAATTCAAATACCTGGGCTACTTCTAAGAGAAGCTGTAAGACCTGCTTTAATTTATGTATAACTTCTAAACAAAGTTATAAATCTCAAATCAAATTAACTTCTGGGTATTCTAATAGATGTAAACCCCAAAATTCCAATAAAATAAAAAACTCATATCCAACCACCTTAGTCTACTCGGGAACCCTTAGAGAAGGCAACCCATGGCTACTAATCAGATTCTCTGGACACTATGGTCAATAATTGTTAGTATTGGTAGAAATCTACGGTATACCCGGGATGACGGAACCATGAGATCTTGATCGGGTTTACCCCTATTTTCCCGATGATTGAGACTAAACACCTAAAAATTATTCATCCTTAATCAAGGGTTCTCTCTTACGTGTTAAGAAGGGTAATTAACTATGAGTGTTTGCGCTCATAGGAGTTAAGGACCCCAGATCTAATTAAACCCTGATAGTACCCTCAGGGGAAATTTGATTAATTACAATCTGACTTAAGGGAAATGAAATCCTATAGCTGCAAAGCGGGATTCATGCATTCGTTTGATTTTTTTCTTGAGCCAACACTATCACTCTAGAGATTATTGAATTGGAGGAGCTGCCTTTGTCAAAATAAAGGCAGGAAACTTCACATGAAACTCAGAATAGTTTGAACCCAACACAAGTGACTCAAGTCAAAAGATAACAAAAACTCACAAGTCGATTAACTATTCTCCCTCTATTTATTATTTGTTGCTTAACAAAGTCATATAAGAATAAGATTTTGCCAACCAAATAACTACTTGTCATGAAAGAAGAGAAGAAATTCTTTTATAAGAATAATATGTAGACATTAATCAGGATAATCAACGAAGAAAAGGATAGTAGATATATGAAGGGATGGAAGATCATACAGGAACCCAAAGGTGCAATGTAAGACTAATTGTAAAGGGGTTTTAGTAGAAAGATGGCATATAGACTTGGCGGAAATATTCTCCTTTGGTTTAACTATGGACTATAGTGCTTAATATTATAGCAATAAAAGATCTATTCCTTGAGCAAATGGATATCAAGACACCTTTCCTTTATCGTAACTTGGAGGAAGACATTTGTGTAGTGCAATCTGAAGGTTTTGTTGAAACTAAAAAAATAAATCTTATGTGCAACATAAATATATGCCTTTACATCTTAAAATAAATGTCTCACTAATGATACTAACAATTTGATGGGTTTATCTATTTGATCAAAATTTGCAAATGTAATGTTGACCATGGTTGCTATGATGAAGGAGAAAAAGTTTGTAATATTCTCTTCCTATATATGGAAGACATCATGACATGTTAATTTATGGAGCTGACTTTTAAAAGATCATTTACTTCAAAAGGCATTTGCTTAAGGAGTTTTACATGAAAGATCTAAGGGTAGCTTAAAAGATTTATGGGACGAGAGTATATCACAATAAAGCTGCATGTATCTTATGTCTTTAAAATTCAAAATATATTAACTGTTGGGTAGGTTCAATATGATAAAAACAAAGATTTTAACACCGCTCATTGGCCACTTTAAATTGTCTAAAGAATTAATGCAAAAAAATTGAATAGGAAAAAGTACACAGCCAAAGTTCCTTAATGCCTCAGTTATCTATTCTCTTACATGCACAATGATCTACACAAGACTAGAAATTGCTATTTTTTGAAGTGTTAAAATTTAGATCTCAAGATATGGTTAAATCAGCTCATAAATGTAGATCTTTGACTAATTCATTTTGTGGGCAAGGAGCATATATTGGAGATCTTTTATTAATGTTAAAATTTTAAAAATATCATATTATTGATTATGAGATTTTTTAATTATTTTTTTATTTTTTGTTACTACTATAAATAGAGCCTTGTGAGATGGGCTTTGTATATCACATCGTAAACAGTAGAGAAGAGGGAGAAAGAGGGGAGAGAGGGATGGCAACTGAGAGGAGCTTTTCAGGTGCTTAGAAGAGAGAGGTATTCTCTTCTTCAAGAAGAAAAATAGGTGTTGTTAGTTTTGATTCTATTAAAAGGAGAAATTGGAAGAGACTCTCATTTGGATTAATGCAATCGGGAAACGGGGAAAGGAAGAAAGTAATTATATATTTTTCTCCACATTTTGCTCTCATTTTCATGGTTGATGGCTATGCTCTTTCTCATTCATTAATATAAATAAAATAGTATCTTTATCATTATCTCCAATTTTGTATGAAGAGAAATCCTTGATACATTTCTCTTTTGAAATTTAATCGAGTAATTTATTTATGTGATGTCGTGAACGTAGGTGGATCTAACCAAATCATGTAAACTTATGTTTTGTATTTATTCTCTTATTTTCATTTGATTTTTGCTTAAAAGTTTTATTTCTATCCTAACAACTGCAATATGATTCAAATTTATGACTGTTTTAGAATTTTGTTCCATTTAAAATGACACCATTATATATCACATGTGCTTTGTTTGTGCTTATCACTATTTAAACGTTCTTATCTTCTTCTTCAGGTGCCTGGTTATGAAGCAGGCAACTTTGTGGGGCCTACAATCTTAGCTGATGTCACATCTGACATGGAATGTTATAAGGTATTCAAGCATTTAACCCTAGTTATATTTCCTCGTATGTATTGAGGTTTGGTTGGTCATCTTACATTTATCATATTTATCCTCTTTATCGTCACAACCGTCACCACAATCAGACTTATTTCTGTTTTTCTCCTGCGAGAAATTATTATGTGCGGAGTTCGGATGTAGATTTGTGTTCGGACTCCAATGAAATATTCACACGTGGTCAAAATATAAATTTTAATATTACTGAATGTTTGTTGTGTATTTATTGTATATTTGCTGAGTATTTATTGTATATTTGCTGAGTATTTACTGTGTACTTAATGCTCAGCAAATATGCAGTAAATATTTAGTAAATATGATGTAGAACGAACATGCGAAGGAGCTTCTTAAGAGAATTAAAAGTGAATGACAACGTAATTTCAATTAATATCTTATTGAGATAGCAAGAAAATCATTCAAAATTTCGTAGTTATCAACTAGCTTAGGTGAAGAAGTATGTAGATTAGCCAAAATCTTCAGACAACCAAAAATAGTAGCAACACTAAAAGCTATTACAACAATCCGTCATTTAATAACGAGAAGTTCACCTTGGGGAAATACTCTCTCAACTAGACTAGGCTTTGCGGAGAAGAATTTCAGCACACCAAACGATGCCACGAGGAAGGTTGCGATGCCAAGGGTCTTGAGCCACGGAGAGGTCGACGATGACGCGGCGGGCGTGAATGCTTGACTTTCGAGACTCCAAGTGTGCTTTGCAAATTTCCGGTCGTAGATGCTCGCAAAGATTGGTACGACTCTTTCCAAGTACTCTTCTACGGTGGTCTCGTCTTCAAATCCTACGTCGAAGCACGGTGAGCGTAGGATGTTGATGCTTCCGTCGGCGTTGAAGACCAATCCCCATTCAAACTCCGGATCCGCCATTCATGCTTGGGTTAGGGGATTCTTCAAGTGGAGGAGAACTAGAGGATGGTAGTAGAGACTCCTTGCTTTGGTGGGAAGAAGGGAGGCGAGAGGTGGGAGAGCCGGCGGGAGATCACTGAGGTGGGGCGGCGGGTTCCAAGAGGGGAGGAGTAGGGTTTGAGAAAATCAATCCAAGTTCATTCCTCAATAATTCTGAAATAAATTTCAGTTTTAATCAAAATCTGAATTTAATTTCAGATTTAATTAAATTTGGAGGGAGATTAATTGGAATTTGAATTTTGAAATAGGTGTAGTGAATGCATTAACATTGCATTAATGGGATTCCTCCTTGGGTGGCCGGCGGCATGGGTGAGGGAGGGGAGAGATTTACTAAAATCTGAATTTAATTTCAGATTTCAAGTAAATTTGGAGGGAGTTAAATGGGATTTGAAATTTGAATCAAGAGAATTAATTGTCATTAACTAGCCTTAAGTGGGATTCCCCCTTTGATGGGGCCGGCGGCTAGGAGAGAGGGGAGGGGGTGAGGAAGCAATTGCACACTTTCCAAATGGGTTGTTGCCACCTAGGATGAAAAATTAGTAACTCCTCATGTGAAGAAATTTGAATTGGATCAATTTCAAAACTTTCCTTTTTTGGAAGATTTCAAATAAGGAAAGTTTTGAATTTCAAAATTTGAAATTCAAAATGTAGTAACTTCCTCATTCATTGCTATGCAACAATCAAGGAGCCACTAGGATGATGGATGTCGTCACCAAGGGTGGAGCATGGGATGGCCGGCGGCTAATGTAGGAGGAGGGGTGGGGTGGCCGACGGGTTGGGTGGGGTTCTTTTGGCGGAGCTTGGAATTCTAGTGGTGGAAACGATTGGATGAAGTGTTGGAGGAATGGATCTCGGGTGAAGATTGTCGTGGAGAAAAGGAGAACCAAAATTTAGAAAAGAAAATAATAAGATAACACGAACCACGAGTCGAGGACGCTTCCAACGACTGGTGGGTATTGCAAACGCTCACCTTGAGCTCAATCACCCTTCTCTAGCCCTCATGCAAGAAGAAGAAGATAATATAAAATTTCATTCAAATATTCATTAACCTCATACAATGATACATGACCCCTATATATAGGTCATGAGATATAAAAAAAAATAAAAGCATAAATAATGACTAAATCGCCCTCGGGGCCCCAACATGACTCACTCACACACAAGGGTAAAACAGGAATACTGAAAACTGAAAATGCATGAATAACTAAAAATATAAGCTCTGAATCGTGGCCATCGATCGGCGATGCTTCCGGCGATATACGTGTCTGAACCGTTGATCGATGACCTCATCAAAATATGCAGTAAATACTCAGCAAAAATACTCAATAAATACTCAGTAAATATGCAAAGTCCGGAGGCAAACTCTACGTCCGGACTCCGCACATAGTAATTTCTCATAAAAGAACTAATTGTCAGATGCACATTTCATTGCAAATTTTTCACCATTAGATGATGAGTCTACATAATTTTGCGCACATTTTAATGTCATCCTCTGTTAAATCCAACAGGAGGAGATTTTCGGTCCAGTTCTCCTCTGTATGCAGGTACGCACCTTAGCTGCTTTACATATAGGCCTCGTATTTTTGCTATTTGTGGATAACCACCATTTTTTTATCTCTTAAAGAAATTGGCAGTAAATGCCACCGTCTTAGAACTTGCCATGGACAAGTTGAACAGCTCTCTTTAGCTAGGCCGAGCACATTCTCCCTCAAAGTTCTCAGTTTCTATAATCAAAACACGTTGGAGTTCCCCATTTTCCTAATTATTTGGTCTCCGTGTTTTTATGAAGTTTAACCGTGAAATAGTGCGAATATTTACTGTTTATTTTTGTATAATCTGATTAGGTACTGTAGGGGTAAGCTTTGTTTGGGGAATTCATTTAAGTTTGGTTAATTTTAATTGTCTATATTATTTGAAATAAAGCTGCCCTGTGCTTCCTGGTACTGGTCTTTATGAAAAGGGTTAGCTTTTACTATTATTATTATTATTATTGTGAATGTTTTCCCTCTCGCTTGTCTGACTCTGACTGCACATAATATTGACAGGCCGAAAGTCTTGAAGAGGCTATCACCATTGTCAACAATAACAAGTAATCTCTCTCTCCTTCCAAGATAGAGTTCAGATATCCATATTTTTATCACTTTAACAGGTTCAAATCACTATTTTCTTTGGACAAGGTATGGTAACGGAGCATCCATCTTCACCTCATCAGGTATAGCTGCAAGGAAGTTTCAGAATGATATAGAAGCTGGCCAGGTATGTTTAAGTTATCAATTATAAACAGCTATTACTAAACAGTAAGTGATATTTGTAGCATCTTAGCCAAATCCTGGAGAAATTATTACGTGCGGAGTCCGGATACGTCCGGACTCCAATAAAAAACATGACATGTATTTTTGTACATAGTGTGTACAATTGTACACACACTATGTACAAATTATAAAATTATGTACATAGTGTGTACAAAATTATATATATAATATACACACTGTACACAATTGTACACAATGTGTATAAATTTGTACACACTGTATACAATGACATGTGTCATATTTTTATTGGAGTTCGGACGTAATATGCAAAAATAATTTGTATGTTTAAGCTAAGAATTGTACATGTATATTTATCAGTCTTGTGTTTCTGGAGATGTTTATCTGACTTTTTTTTTTCTTCTCTTATTTTTATTCTTATTTTATGACTAGGTTGGCATTAACGTGCCTATTCCAGTTCCTCTCCCATTCTTCTCATTCACTGGTTCAAAGGCTTCTTTTGCGGGTGATCTTAACTTTTATGGTAAGCCCAAATGTATTATTGTTTTCTGCACAATCATTAGATATTCTGACTAAATTATTTGTTAGGATAGTTTTCAGATTTATTAATTTTTTTTAAGATGAATGTAATATAAGTTTTCATTGATTACCATGCATTATATTGATAATATGTTGACCAAATTTTTCTCCTCCATGCATTTTTGCAATTCATTAAGGACAAAATTGGCTCAAAATTTTTTTATCAAAATTTGATCAAGATATATTGTAAAAGAGAAAATGATTAAAAAAGTCTCTTGACTCTTTATGAATGATCAAAATAGTCCCCAATTATATTAAAGGATCATTTTGGCCCCCTCAAATCTTAAAAAAAAAATCCAAATGGTCTTGTAGCGGGAATATTTTGATTTCTGTTTAAGAAGTCGGGGGACCAAACTGATCTATTAATATAGTTAGGTACTATTTTGGCTTTTCATAAAGAGTCAAAGAGATCATTTTGATCCTTTTTTTTTTCCTATTTTAAAATTCTTAGACTTATTTTTTTGATGAAAACAATCTAAAAAAGTTATTAATTATTCATGTTTTATATTTAGACAAAAATTTTTTCTGAGTAAACAACCAACTTTTTCCCATTTCCTTCAACATTTTCTAACCCATTGGATTTCTTTATTGAATGACAGGCAAGGCTGGCGTACAATTCTACACTCAAATAAAAACTGTAACTCAGCAATGGAAAGATTTGCCGGTTCAGGGCGTTTCCCTGGCAATGCCAACATCTCAGAAAACATAGATTCTAGTATCCAAATCTTCTTGTCTTCATGGTTGAATTTTATTGAAAATTTTTCTTATATGTTTATGATCCTTCTTCCCAAAATTTGCTCAGAACAACGCAGTGTTCTACTTCTTGTGATCTGTCGAGACTGGCATGTTCTTGCATTATTGTGATTTAGGCTTCGTTTGGGACAGCTTTTTTGTTGCTTTCTAAAACGGCTTTCTAGTACAAAATTTTCTAATTTACAATTTTTGTACTAAAAAACTATTTTAGAAAACAGCAAAAAAGATATCTCAAACGAAGCCTTATTGTTAAAATGTAGGCTTCGTTTGAGTTTGCTTTCTTAATGCTTTTAAAGATGTTTTCTAGTACAAAAATTTTTAGTTCAATACAATTTTTGTGCTACAAGTAGTTCTTACCTTCCTTTGGGGGAGCCATCAATTCAGCTTAAGTAACAACTACCTCCATTGGGCTCCCAAGAGGAACTCATCCCAAAGTGTCAACATCTTGCTCATCCCTTGCGTTCTTAAAAAGCCGAATTGTTGCCCTTCTTGCTAGTTTTTTGCTTGGCATAGCTAACTCAACAGGGTGCATTTTCTCTTGCTCCCTAAATAAAGAAGTTAAAAATTTACTGAAAGGTTTTTTTTTTTTTGGACATTTAGGTCATTTAAGATAAACTCACAAACATAATGCATACACAAAGATTCAAACCCAAGACCTCTTAGTTAGAAGTCTAAGCTCTCAACTAACAGATCAAGGTGAACTGTGTAAATACTGAAAGGTGAAAGAGCATCAAGCTCTTTAGATTGCTCCTTATAGAAGAAAGATGTGAGTGACATCCCATCACTGTTATCAAGAGGAATCAACATGACACTTGAGGCTACAAAAAAAAAAGGATAGTAACTTCGTATTTACTTTCCTTTTAGCGATTTGGTAACCATAAGAAATGTTTTTTCGTTAATTCACTTATTCTTTTTGTCACTTACGCTTCAAAGATTCAAGTTGAGAAATTAAATGTATACTTGTACATGTCTTCTCAAATGTTTAATAAGCATTTAAAGAGTTCCAATGGAAAATTTGAATTCTATGGACCTCAACAATGAAAACTTGTCCAAGGGAAACTCAGCAAAGCAATTTGAGGTGAAACACCTATGGTTCATGCAAAATCCCTCAGATTGAGAGGGCTTGTCCCTCCTCAAGGAAGCACACTAGAAAGATTGGGGAGCAATCGGTCCAGTAACTATTAGATTGACATGGTAAGCACCTTGATTTCCTTTACCTTATTCACCAAAGTGTAAAGATGTTGCTCATACCTCTTGCCCCTTAAAAAGATGAATTGTTGCCATCTTCACTAATTTTTTGCTTGGCATAGCTAACTCAGTAGTGTGCATTTTCTCTTACTCGCAAAATGAAAATGTTAAACAAAATATTGAAAGGTGCAAGAGCATCAAGCTTTAGATTGCTCTTTATAGAAGAAAAATGTGAGCGGCATCGCATCACTATGATCACGATTAATCAAAATGACAGCCGAGGCTAGGGGTGTAAACGACTCGAGCTCAAATCAGGGGGTGTTCAAGCTCGACTCGTGAGTTCAATATCGAGCTCGAACTTGAGTCGAGCTCGAGCTTGAGCTCGACTCATGACATTGTAACGAGTTCAGTGAGCCGCTCAATTTTGCACCTAGTTGCGTCAGTTTCCCGCCCGGTATTTTTTTTTTCACGCCCAGTTTTTCAAGTGGAGAGCACGGCAGAGAAAAGAAGCCTGTTGCTTTGGGAGAAGAGCACTATATAATTTTTAGGTTCAATAATTAATGCTGCTGTTACTGCATACATTTATTAAAGCTACACTAT